ATCCTCACCCAGGATATTTTCCCGATGATTTTTAGAGAGAGTGGAAGGGAGGGGGAGAGACAGAGAGAGACATCGATGTGAGAGAAACACATCGACTGGTTGCCTCCTACACGTACCCAGAACAGGGCTGGGGATCGAGCCTGCAACCCAGATACATGCCCTGACCGGGAATCAAACTCGGGATCCTGCAGCCCGCAGGCCGACGCTCTATCCATTGAGCCACACCGGCCAGGGCAGCTGCTTTGTCTTTTACTGGAAGTCATACCGAAGGGGTCGCTGTCATCTGAACCATCGCGCTGTGACCTGCATTTTCATTCATGTCTATTACAAGTTAGACTGAGCCGATGGGGTCTCGGGGCCTTTTCCCACGAGTGGAACAGCAGGGACATCTTCTGGGGACGTGGAGAGGGCAGGGGGCCCGGGAGGCAGGTGCAGCCCTGCGGGGCCACAGCAGCAGGCAGGTCCCCCGCCGGCCCCCAGCCCCTGCTGCACCTAAGCGCCTTTGCAGCCAGATTACAGCAGCTCGCTCGCAGCCACACTGCCTAATCCCCAGGGCGGGCCCCAGACGAGGGCTGGGAAGGACTGACAAGCAAGCACAGGGGAGCCCGGCCGGCGTGGCTCAGTGGCTGAGCATCGACCTATGAACCAGGAGGTCAGGGTTTGATTCCCGGTCAGGGCACATGCCTGGATTGTGGGCTGGGTCCCCAAGTAGTGGGCCTGCAGGAGGCAGCGTATCAATGATTCTCTCTCATCACTGATGTTTCTATCTCTCCCTCTTCCTTCCTCTCTGAAATCAATAAAAACTTTTTTTTAAAAAAAGAACTCGCCCTAGCCGGTTTGGCTCAGTGGATAGAGCATCAGCCTGCGGACTGGGAGGTCCCGGGTTCGATTCCGGCCAACGGCACATGCCCAGGTTTCGGCTCGATCCCCAGTGGAGACGTGCAGGAGGCAGCCAATCAGTGATTCTCTCATCATTGATGTTTCTATCTCTCCCTCTCCCTTCCTCTCTGAAATCAATAAAGAAATATATTTTTTAAAAAAATAATAAATAAATAAATAACTCATAATTATATGATAAGCCTGGACTCTGAAGCCAGAGGCATGGGTTTGAATCCTGGCTCTGTCATCTACTGACTGTGTGACCTTGGGGAATATAGGAAAATTCTCTGGACTTCAGCGTTTTCATCTGTAAAATAGAGATTGTGACACCTCCCTCCCAGGTTTGTTGTGCAGAATTCAGTGGATCAGTGAATTAATACATAAAAAGTGTGTGGCACAAGGCCTGAAATGTTAAGTTCTCGATAAATGGAGACCATTTATGACTTCTGAAAAGACAGATTGCTGGATCGGAGATTAATTTACTACCAAGAATGGACAGAGGTGGACCCAGGTTGAGTAGGGCCTGAAGTTCACACAAGTAGGAAGCCCTCTTGAAAACGAATAAAAGAATGCAAGACTTAGCCCTAGCTGGTTCTGCTCAGTGGTTAGAGTGTTGCCCCAGGCAACAAAGGGTTGTGGGTTCAATTCCCAGTCAAGAGCATGTACCTGGGTTGCAGATTCAATCCTAGCCCCTGCTAAAGGCAACCAATCCAATTATCTCTCACCTCTCTCTTTCTCTCTCTCTCTCCTCCTTCCTCTCCCCCTCCCTCCCACTCTAAAAATCAATGGATTCCGGCCAGTGTAGCTCACTGGTTAAGCATTGATTATGAACCAGAAGGTCAGAGTTCGATTTCCCATCAAGGCAGGCTTGATCCCCAGTGCGGGATGTGCAGAAGACAGCAGATCAAAGATTCCCTCTCATCATTGATGTTTCTATCTCCTCCCTTCCTCTCTGAAATCAATTTAAAAAATAAAAATAAATGGGGGGAAAATATTCTCGGGTGATGATTAACAACAACAAAAAGTAAGACTTCAAGGGCACTTCCAAGGGTGTGGGCAGAGCCATGGGAGTGACGGGCCAGAGCTTATACTTCATCTGCCTCCCTGTACGGATGCCACGGCAGACAGAAGAGGCTGCCCAGGCACAACGAGCCACGGTGAGAAACCCGTCTCTCGCTACATAACAAGCGTTTGGTTCCTTGAACACAACACGTTTTCCCTCTTGTCTGGGCCTTGGCATAGGCTGTTCCTCCTGCTTAGAATACGCTTCCAAGCCTTTTCCTCTAGTTAAGTCCTCCTCATCCTCCAGGCTCAGCTCAGATACCACCTCTTCCAGGAAGCCCTCTCTGACCCCAGGCTGGGGCAGGTGGCCCTCTGGGCTGTCCTACTCCCCCCAGATTCCTTCCGCCCAGCCCAGTCCATTCAGGGGCCTCGCTGTCCCGGAAAAGGTCTGTATCTCCCCAGACTCTGAGCCCTGTAGGGGCAGGGCTGGGGTTGTGCCTGTCACCGCTGCGTCCCCAGCATTGTCCAGACAGGGCCAAGCACACAGTAGTTCTCAGTACATACTGAACAAGTAAAGCAGCCGATTCTCACGGAGCCTTTACAATCTCCCCGCAACCCTTTAGACAGCAGGTCCCAACCCCACTCTATGAAATGAAATGCATAGATAGTGTGTCCTACTGGCATACATCATTTCAAAAAATCAATATAATAACCTAACTAACATCAAATAGAAATGAAGTAATTTATAATAAAGAAAAACAGGTAACAATGCATTAGTACAACTACACTGGAAAACATAAATAAATGGTCAAGTGCTTTCACCTACTTATAATAAATATATTGAAGTATAAGAGAATTAGAAAAATCGCCAATGGAATAGTGTCAGTCCCTTTTGTTATATTTGAGATGTTGAGAAAGGGCTAAGTGAGAGAGAGAGACAGAGAGAGAGAGAGAGACAGAGACAGAGAGAGAGAATGCAGCAGCTGGAACAGCAGTTTGACACAGATGCTGTGGTGGAACTCTTTGATGTGATGTGACTTTGATGCCGGAAGTGGGGTTGCAGTGGGGACGTGATTATCAAGAAGGGTG